GGGCTGAGATTAATGAGAGGTGCTCGACATAACAATAGTTGAATTCGAAGCGTGGTGGAACCTTCGAGAGTTGAATTCGAAGCGTGGTGGAACCTTCGAGAGTTGAATTCGAAGCGTGGTGGAACCTTCGGAAGTTGATGAAGAAGCTTGGTGGAACGTAATTTCTCAACGTGGTGATTATCTGGACATTTGTGATTTCAATTATTATAATAATCATTTCGCAGATAGAGTGCGAAAAGGAACAAACGAATGTTTAAGTCTGAAATACGTTATGTACACGAGAAGTAAGGGGGGAGACGAAAAGGTATTAGAAGCTATAAAGATCCCATCAAAACAGAAAAGAGCGAACGCTAAGGCAAATAGGCAAAAACCTGTTGACACTCGAATGGCTGTATCAGACGATGATATCAGAGATACGCAAAGTACAAGTGATGTTAGTGAAGAAAATATTATTGAATATTGGACAGAAGCAACCGACGGCGAACAAATGGCTCTCGAGATGACGACTTCGAACAGCGCAGGAAACGAGCATGACATGAGACTCTTCAAGGACGTCTATGAGGTATTATCTGCTTTTGATCCTATTAAACCCGATGCAGATATTAACAATTGGATATGTAAACTAGAGGAGTACGCACTTTTATATTCTTGGGATGAAGTAGCCCGAAAACACTACGCGTTAGCGAAATTAGAAGGTGTAGCACGGAAATGGCGCGATAGTCTTCCCGCAGATCAACGGTCCGAGTGGAAGGAACTATTGGTGGAACCCTTCCCATGCGACACTAGTTGTATCAAATTGCGCCTTGATGCTTTGTCGATTTGGGGAGTTCATGCGTGACATTGAGACAGGATGTTGCTGATGAAATGGGAATATCCTACCTCGAAGGAACGTTCGAATCATTGACAGGTTATGGCAACGGGACGGTGACACCAGTAGGAATGCTCACGACATCACTCACAATCGACGGTGTTACAGCCAAGGTGAAGATTCATGTCATTTCACAAAAGTATCAACCGATACCATTGATCGTGGGTCATCCCTATACGGAGCAAGATCACGTGGAGATTGTTAGCAGAGTAAACGAATTGCTAATTCGCCGAGTAGATGACAGCAAAGCCGATGAACCGCAGAAGACAATTTTATGGGTCAAGGAAGCAGTATTCTGCCAAACAATTATTTAGGATATATTGCTGCACGTATCGACATATGCAACAAGGACGTTTCCTTGGAAGGTGGCATACGTGAAGACGGACAATTGATACCCAGATGCGTGGTAAAAGCTGATGATCAAGGGATGTCTATGGTGCCAGTACTCAATATTTCAGGTGGTGAATTGGTGATTGATGAAAGGACAATTCTTACTCGTGGAGAAGCGGTGATGTCAAATGCCAGAACCGTAAGCCGAGAAGTTAATACGGAAAGTATAAAGCCAGACGAAATCAATACCGATAATAATTTGTCTGAAACGGAATTCGAAAAGGTGATAGATATCATTAACGATTTCAAAGACTTAATCGCCAAAAACATTTGTCAAATAGGTTGCATCGATAGAGCGGAGATGTCAGTAACGTTAATAGATGATAATCCAGTGTGTTATCGACCATATAGAGTATCGAAAGAGGAGCAACAACAACAACGCGAAATCATCCAAGGGCTGATAGATGCTAATATCATCGAAGAGAACGAGTCTCCATTTTCGAGTTCGGTATTACTCGTGTAGAAGAAGACGGGTGATGTACGCATGTGTGTAGACTATAGAGCGGTAAACAAAAACACAGTTAAGCGACAATATCCTATGCCGAGGAGAGACGATCAGTTGGACCGACTGAATGGTATGAAATATTTTACGACCTTAGATTTAAGTATTATCAGGTACCGATGTCGAAAGATTCTAAACATATTACTGCGTTCAGTACTGTCGACGGACAATATCAATTTAAAAGAATGCCTTTTGGATTGTGCAACGCGCTTGCAACTTTTCAGCGACTGATTAACACGGTATTAGGGAAATTGCGCGGTGTAATGGCGATGGCATACATCGATGACATAATTATTCCTTCGGAGACGGTCGCAGATGGTCTCAGTAAACTTCAAGAAGTTTTTAAAGAGTTAATATCGGCGAATCTAACGTTAAAATTGGAGAAATGTTACTTTTTACAGAGAAAAATCGAATACTTAGGGTTTGAGATAACGGCGGAAGGAATCGCACCGGGAAAGAGAAAACTAATTAGAGTAAAAGAGTATCCAATGCCTTTTGATGTTAAAAAAGTACGTAGTTTCATTGGACTTGCTAGTTATTTCAGACGGTTTATTAGAAATTTCGCAGTCATTGGACGACCCTTGACGGATTTGTTGAGGAAGAATGCAAGTTTGAGCTGGGGAGAATCTCAAATTGATGCTTTTCATAAATTAAAAGAACGATTGTGTAATGCGCCGATATTAAAAATATATGATACGGGAACGCGTACGGAAGTACATACCGACGCTTGTAGCCACGGTATAGGAGGGGTTCTGTTACAAGAGGGTTCTGATGGTATGTTACGTCCTGTATTACGGGTCCTTGCCTTTATTTA